TGGGGTTCTGGTTTTACCGGCATATGACTTTTATTCTACGGTATTTTTACAGCACATGCATGCTGCATCATGCCGCGGCATATGACGTATAGCCCCCACTGAGAGCACAATGAGACTGAAGTCGCTTGAACGAAACGCTCCATTTTGTGCACATCGAGCGACAACTGCCAGCTCAATAATCCATTTGATCCCACGTGAAATGATGATTGCTGCTTCGGTCCCTATCTGGACGTATGCAGTGCAGCACTGTGCCAGGAGAGCTGACGCCCTGGGCAGCTCGGGCCCCTCTGGGGCGGGCCACCTTGGTCGGTCGGCTGACTCACCGGTCGCACACGGTCGAGGTGTGATGCCTCTGGCAGACAGGACCAGCTCACGACATGGTGGGCGGGGAGAGACTGTTGGCCGCCCAGGTAGAGAGCGAGCCACCCCTAACCCAGACGGCCATGCACTCACATAGTAAAACATCAACGTAAAACATCAAACCGACGCCAAACAAATCATCGGACGTATACAACTAGAGCCCGACCTCTGTCTGGTCAAATGTGCCATGGCTGCTACTAATTGAAAGCAGGAGAACGCCGATACTTAACGGCCAGTTCATGCTTTAAAATATATCTGAAATAAATATGGTGGACGTACCAGCAGCAAGCAATGGTGACCAACAGATTTAAGCAACAAAAAAGAAGGGAACAGCCAAAAACGAATGATGCAAAAATATCAACATAGAACTCTTCAAACAGAAACACACGAGAGACATGCACTCACCTCAATTGGCGGTGACCTAAAGAAGATCTAATACAGACCCAGGCCGCCGCTGATGCAAGCCATCTCTTCCGACTTCGCTACACGACACTCACTGGTAGAAATGAACCATACCGAACCTACCACCTGACGCCCTCAAACAAGCAAACAAAGCTCACCTGGTTTGTCCTGACAGACGGAATACAACGGATTTTTCACCTAAAATGTCTCCTATCGTCGTGTCAGCGTGTGCGTGGTTGGTATGCGATTTCAACTCGACCTGTCCGATCACCTGTGTTCACCAGCCGCCCAGCAGCGCGACGTCGCTCACCATTTGACAGACGCCGTAAGGGCCCCACCGCCTTGACGGCAGACGCTGTGCGGCCTCTCTCATCTGCGCAGCTCACCGCTCGACGGCCACTGTGAGGGCCCCACCATCTTGCCGGCATCTCTGTGCAGTCGCTCTCACCTGCAACATTGGTTTTGGTGTTCAGGCGTGGTTATAAAAGTGAGCGATTTCGGCACTCATCAAAAGCCAACCACGACTAATGTAACCACTTACTGCGCTGCACCGGCCAGGTGTTCAAACCGTCAAGAAATGGCCGCTGGTAAAAACCAAAGCATCCCTATGTGCTAGCTGAACTGGCTGCGCAACCGCCACATGCATTTTTGGCTTTTGTGTAAGAGATCAAAACAGTACCACTGTCCTCATTGGGCCGCCTCAAACGTTGCTGTATAATTTCAGTTGCGATCAGAGGACTGGATGACAGACTCGAAATAAACATACACATTTGCCGAGACTGTACATGTGGGCATCTGGGCAACTGCACATAACTGTACATACATATGTCCGCATCTTCTTTTCCGAGTCACCTTTTATGTGAGCACTGTCTGCGACCACTTACATGAGCGATTCCTCGAAGGGCTCAGATAGCCTCTACTTCTTTCAACGCCAGCTGGAAGCAAGACAGTAAATATCGTTTATTTCCTTCAAGGACGCCACTATCTACTGCCTCACAATGCCGCCAAGTGTAGGTGTGCCCAGCCACAGACGCGTGCGCCGCGCTCCCTACGAGCTCGGACGTTCGTGGGGTTTCGCGTGCCTAAAAGCCTACCGAATGACCCGGCAATCTGCTCCCTGGCACGCTGGTGCCAAATGTGGTGTGTGTCTCATTTTTGTATGCATACATCGGAAGAAAGTTATGATGTCTTCACATGCAAGGTGTCATCACTTGGGATATGAGCTTCGTAATTCTCGGGCAAGGTGACCTTCTGTACCGTTTAACCCTGCTCATCACTGTTTACTCTGACGTAATGGGTAGCAGTGAAATATTGCCGCAAAAAACACGGGGTCTTCTGTAGGGGACGGCGTATGGCGAGCCCGAGGCTTTTGATAACAACTCCGACAGATTGAACTCGTTCAATGAATGCATCCGCGTGCCTTTGTTCGTGTTATGCAACGGTGCGCGCGGAAACGCTTCTCTCCTCACGTACAGCTCAAAACATATGCTGGATTCATACACAAGCGCCCGCACACGACTTGATCCAGCCGCTGTAGGCGTGACGTGATCTGAAGTCATCTACTCACCACTAACTGCTTCAGCCGGTTTGAAAAGTGTGTCTCGCTTTTGATCGGGAGATTCGGCGACTGACAGTACTGCCGGCCGGCTTGGTCTCGCTTTTGATCGGGAGATTCGGCGACTGACAGTACTGCCGGCCGGCTTGGTCTCGCTTTTGATCAGGAGATTCGGCGACTGACAGTACTGCCGGCCGGCTTGGTCTCGCTTTTGATCAGGAGATTCGGCGACTGACAGTACTGCCGGCCGGCTTGGACCCGCTTTTGATCGGGAGATTCGGTGACTGACAGTACTGCCGGCCGGCTTGGACCCGCTTCAGGGGCGGCGCTGCCGGCCGGCTTGGATTTCCCTCAAGGGGAGTGCGGCCGTTCGACTCGGACCACCCTCAGGGTCGGTGCTGCCGGTGGCTTGGAGTCTCCTCACGGGCGGCGCTCTGGGCTCGGCGGCGATTACTCACCCGCACCTGCTCCGGACTGCTGTAACTTCGTGCGGCTGGTCTGAAGCCGTTCCATTTTAGGGGAGGATCCATGGCGCCCCGCCCTTCTCACGTCTAGCCAACAGGAAACGTTCGTGTCTAGACCACCGCGGCGAGCCCTGCAGCCGAGGCTGTAGGGGCAGAGGTCTTTTTAATGACCGTGAATTAAGGCTAACAGGTTCTTAGTCCTATTGTTTGGACGATGGCTTGAGGCTCGGCCTGGGGAGCGGGGAGGCAACAGCAGTCCTGCTGCTCATCGTTGGCGGCCGGTCATCAAGGCCGATTTCCTGGCTACAGCGGCTTCAAACTTCACAACGACCGGCATAGTGGCTGCTTAGTGTGACTATCCTTTAATCAAGCGGTGCAATTCTCCGCGTTAGCACCCATATGACCTTTTGTTGGCCTTGACCTTGAATTTAGGTACTTCTGTGCCACCTGGTGAGGCCTGGCACGATGGATTATCCTTTCAAAAGATTATACCATATATGAGGTGTGAAAGCTATGCAAAAGAAACGCTATTGAATCTGCAAACTGCGCAATTGTTTGCCGATGAAACAAGAGCTAGTGTGGTTCACCACAGAACCACAGCTAGTGTGGTTCACCACAGCGTTGTCCGGCGCGTGCAGTGTCGGTCCAGGAGCCAATTGAGAACTAAGGATTTCTTAACTAAGAATATCACCGAAATGGTTGCGTACGGTTATTATATTCAGTAATTTGGAATACTATATATGATGCAATATTAACCTAGCGTCCAGAACTTTTAAGCACACGATTTAACCTTTCGCAAGCATTGATTTTGTACGGAATGTCACTCATGTATAGCTCACCCAACTGTAGCAGTGATGTGTCTCACACCATGACGCCAAGCACCAGCGTCTGTCGCCGTGTGGCGGCTGACGTGGTGTGCTGACGTTACATGTCTGCTCTGGTGTGAGAGACCGTGTGGCGCCTGACGTGGTGTGCTGACGTTACATGTCTGCTCTGGTATGGGAGACCGTGTGGCGCCTGACGTGGTGTGCTGACGTTACATGTCTGCTCTGGTATGAGAGACCGTGTGGCGCCTGACGTGGTGTGCTGACGTTACATGTCTGCTCTGGTGTGAGAGACCGTGTGGCGCCTGACGTGTTGTGCTAACGTCACATGTCTGCTCTAGTGCGGGAGACCGTGTGGCGCTTGACGTGTTGTGCTGACGTCACATGTCTGCTCTAGTGTGGGAGACCGTGTGGCGCCTGACGTGTTGTGCTGATGTCACATGTCTGCTCTGGTGTGGGAGAGGCCAAAACCATCGCGATTTAATTTTTTCACAGTGAGCAGACTGCGCCAAGGTCCAGTTTTGCCATGAAGTATTGAGTTTTCTTGATAAAACTTCCCCGTTCTCATAAATTTGCGACGACACATGGTACATTCTTAACTTCTTGCTAGAACATCAGTTATTTCCTACGTATCTAGTGCTCTCTTCCATGAAGATGTCGTTCGCAGCGTAGCAATGTCTCGTGAGCAATCTGTACAGCAATCTCTCCGCATTCAACGTTTATCAAACGCCATTACTGAACCTCCGAACTGACGTGTGCCCTAAATCTCTGCCTGGGGGATTCGAATCTCTGCCTGGGGGATTCGAATCTCTGTCTGGGGGATTCGAACCTCTGCCTGGGGGATTCGAACCTCTGCTTGGGGGATTCGAACCTCTGCCTGGGGGATTCGAACCCCTGCCTGCGGATTCAAGTGTGCGTATTCCGGGCAGTGCGCCAAGTTTGGGTGCAAGTCATAATGAGCTCAGAGTTATGAGGGATGCTGATGCCTCGTGCAGAATGACATGCGCTTCAGATCTTTCCAAACTTGAGAAACCCGCCCAGCTAGTGTGTGAGCCTGCACATCACCTGACTTTTGCCTCCTGGCCTATGAAACTCGTGCAGCCGGTGCATGTTTTGTTCGAAATGCAGAAGATAAGCTGCGCAGGAACTCCGTCACAAGTGCTGGTAAAGTTGGTGCATAAAAATGATAACTATTGGCACCAATTAGTGCTTAGTAATACATAACTCCTTCCACTTCCACTATACCTAAAACGTGTAGGACCATACCACAAAGGTTTAAGCAAAGTTCATTTACGAGCAACAATGACAGCGAAACGCACCATGCTTATGCCCATGTCCCCCGCTGAACTGCTATCGGCCTCGTGACTGACCCGTCTCGCTGCTCTTGTTCCGCAGGGGACAGTGGGCGAGTGTGTTCCGATGCCGACTGCGCAGCACGGGCGCCCAGTTTGCCGCCAAGTTCTGCAACAAGCTGCGCATGGGCCTGTACGCGCATCAGGAGATCCTGCACGAGGTGGCGGCGCTACGCCAGTGTCGCCGCTGCCCGCGCTTTGTGCAGCTGTACGAGGTGTTCGAGACCGATGACCAGTACATCCTCGTCATGGAGCTGTGAGTGTCGCGGTGTCCATTCCATTGTGCGCCATACCCACTCCCCGAGTTGTTGCGATCATGCGTGCTAGTAGCGGTTGCGCGGCATCCAAGACATGTTTAGTTCCTTTAGTCGTACCATAATCGTGCTTTTCGGTTGCGTACCGTGGTGTAAATGCGGTATAACCGTAACCAACAGACACGGATGGCCTTTAATTATGCGCTCATGCACAAAACTGATGAATAACAAGTAAAAATATTCACCCATATTTGTAAGCATGAGGATTGGGTACATCACGTATCTGTTCTATCGGTTTTACACGTTGCAATATTTTCTGCGAACTGAGTCGCACTCTCCCTGTGGCCTAGTCAATGGCCTGTCGTTTACGCTCCGTTGCGGTCATGGGCTCCACACCGATCTGACGACTGGGCGTCGTCCCCGTAGGTGTCATTGCCATAGGACCGGGGGCTGAGAACGTACTCCCCAAATTATCAAAACGGGCTTTATCTCCTGTCAACATTGGTCGGCAACAGTGCGTGCCCCGCCCGCCATAAACGCCAGTTTTCGAGATTGTGCGCTCCAGCCCTGACCTCCTCCGCCCGATATTGCGGGCCACATCCAAGGTGGTCGCCATCGGTGACGCCAATCCAAATGAATGAAGCCTTACGTGCCAGCGCCATCCATCGCCGATAAAAAAATGCATCGCCATTCTGCAGCCGCCCGCCTGACGCCTGTGTCGGGCGCTTACAATTGCAAATCGGCACTGGTTGCCGGCGGAGCCTGGCGGCTGGGGCGGCGTCCGTGTATGTCCGCTTGGCTAGCAGTCAGTGGTACCCCGTCCAGCCCCTTGCCTGGCGGCTGGGGCGGCGTCCGTGTATATCCGCTTGGCTAGCAGTCAGTGGTACCCCGTCCAGCCCCTTGCCTGGCGGCTGGGGCGGCGTCCGTGTATGTCCGCTTGGCTAGCAGTCAGTGGTACCCCCAGTCCCTTGCCTGGCGGCTGGGGCGGCGTCCGTGTATGTCCGCTTGGCTAGCAGTCAGTGGTACCCTCCAGCCCTTGCCTGGCGGCTGGGGCGGCGTCCGTGTATATCCGCTTGGCTAGCAGTCAGTGGTACCCCGTCCAGCCCTTGCCTGGCGCTGGGGCGGCGTCCGTGTATGTCCGCTTGGCTAGCAGTCAGTGGTACCCCGGTCCAGTCCCTTGCCTGGCAGCTGGGCGGCGACTGTGTATGTCCGCTTGGCTAGCAGTCAGTGGTACCCTGCCCAGTCCCTTGCCTGGTGGCTGGGGTGGTGTCTGTGTATGTCTGCAGTCAGCGACGTCACGTTCATCCGACCCCCGTCTCTAGCTGCGCCCAGCTAATCAGGGATCCCACCCACTTTCGTCGGCGCGCAGCAAGTATGGTTATTGGGCGGTATACATAGGACTATGCACGGGTATTGGGCGGCATATACTGGACTAAATAAGCACTTGGCTGTGCACGTGTGACTCCAGTGCAGAAATCTAATCCCGCATAATCAGCTCACCACCATGAAGAATCGTATGAAGACGAGGACGAAGACCTCACACATCGCGCAAGCTGCGCAATTTGAGCGCACGCTGTGTGGTTGTCCTTTGTTCGCCCCTGGTGACGACCGCTCGAGTTGTCTGGCATACAGCTGTCGCGACGTGAAGGAATTATGTGGTTGTTTATGCACGCTGTAATCAATTACGATGTGTTATCAAGGTCTTAAATTGCCTCATTATACAGACTAATAGCATTAATCGATGTCATTTATCAGCGAGCCATCACAGAAGAATAGCTGCAATGCAAAACTGAAGATCAAGCTGCGCGTCTTCGGCCGTGAACACAGGCATGCGCACCACCACCACTGCGATGCATTTCAAGCACGCTTCCGTCGGCGGTTTTAAACGCACGCGCTCCCCTAACTGGGGTTGTTTCCCTGGTTCACTTCATCTGCTGTCAGGAGAGCCGCCCGAACCGGTCTGGAAGCGGTGCTTCAGATGTAACCAACAAAAAAGCGACCGCTCCCTAACAACATTCGGGGCAATTAAGTCGGCATCAATTATAGCGCGGTCGGTGGTGCCGTCAGCAGGGACGTGCCCCGGCGGCGGGAGGGGCTGCCCGGAGGTCACCCGGCAACCCTGACTCCGACCGCACCCGGGCACCGGGAGCACGGTGCTCGGTACAGCAGCGGTGTTAGTCCGGCGGCACACGGCGTTCGGGTCCTCCGTCGGCGCCGGGTTGTTCGCAGAACTGGACAGGTGCGTCGGTCGGGGCGTCATCGGCCACCTGTTCTCAGTGGTGTGTGCAAAGGTTCTCCGGACTCTCGCCCCGGCTCAACATGACGAGGGAAGCACCATGGCGGCGTCTCCGGTAGTGTTTCCAGTTTGTTTTGGGCCCCGGTCGTCGAAGGTCGATCACCACAGAAGGGCTCTCTGGAGAACGGAGCGTAGCCAGAGACGATGTTTTAACGAATGCACACATCTATGACATAAGTTATTGACCAAATGCACCAGGCTCATTTTTGAGGTCAACCATTCAACGTGCGCACGAACACGACTGTGATTATGCGTTCACTGCCTAGTTGAAATGTGCATCACTACGCATACGCTGCAAAGTTACGGTGTGGATCATGACGTGAATGTTGTATGGCTGTGTACCGTGATGTGATGAGCAGAGTGCTCTGTTGGCCCGACCCGACCTGTACCAGGCATCCGAATGAAATCATGCCAAGTTAGGTCTACCGCATCACACCAACAGCTCTAACGGGAGTGTTCCAAATTTCTATTGAGTTTTGAACCGAAATAACTATCTTGATTGTTATTCGGCACAGTTCGCAGCCCTTCCCTTCTTAAGACCTGAACCCTCCAGTTTCTGAGCTGCACCTCGCGATGATAGGGAGACTATTTCGGGGAGAGTATTTCAAGATCCCCTTGGCATTCATGACGTCATGACAACGCCATTCAAATCCTGTGATTTCATACGCCATGTGGCGATCAAGGTCAGTAAGATATAATGGACAAGTCATTCATATCTTGCGCTCGTGGGCGTAATTGCCAGATATAACGACCGTCAATTGGCTCTCAATCAGTGTTGTGCAAGGCACGATGGCATAATCAAACCGTGACGTATCTAGAAGCATATTTACTTAACATAGAAATTGTGACGTATAAAGCGGTCTTTTCTACTAAGATTGTACCAATCGTTGTAAGTGAGCTTGTTTCATCATATCTGACGCCTGATTCATTATCTTCAAACCTGAAACATTCACTTTAAGCGGATACATAGAGTACGAAGGCCACTACAAGCAGTTCCTTAGCGATTATACACTTCATAAACAGAAGCTCTGTCTACTCACGAAGCCAAAGCACAAATGTGCATTCATAAACTAGCATTAAACATAACTACACCTGCATGCTAGTAACTTTGATGGCCCATAGTAACTAGTTACACCCACTTAGTGTGACGTTATGATTGACCGCAACCGTTGTAAGTCCCTCGGCCTTTATAGTGGAATACATGGTCTGTGTGTGTGTGTGTGTGTGTGTGTGTGTGTGTGTGTGTGTGTGTGTGTGTGTGTGTGTGTGTGTGTGTGTGTGTTCGTGCGTGCGTGCGTGCGTGCGTGCATGCGTGCATGCGTGCATGCGTGCGTGCGTGCGTGCGTGTGTGTGTGTGTGTGTGTGTGTGTGTGTGTGTGTGTGTGTGTGTGGTGTGTGTGTGTGTGTGTGCTTGTGTGTGTGTGTGTTGTGTGGCCGTGTGTGGTGTGTGTGTGCGTGTGTGTGTTGTGTGTGTGTGTGCGTCCGTGCGTGTGTGTGTGCGTGTGTTTGTGTGTGTGTGTGTGTGTGGTGTGTGTGCTGTGTGTGTGTGTGTGTGTGTGGTGTGTGTTGTGTGTGTGTGTGTGTGTGTGTGTGTGTGTGTGTGTGTGTGTGTGTGTGTGTAATGTATATCTTGTAGCACTTGCCGTGCAAGGGGAGGGAGGAGGAAGGATACTTTATAGCGACGTAGTTAGTCCGGCGCAGTTTCCGACTACCGTACCATCCCGCATGATGCAGTGCCTCTCTCAGGTACTCTATTCGTCGCAGATAACAGGGAAGCGGCGAGATATTTTAACCCTGATCAGATGACGGTCGCCGGAATGGTGGGCTTCTACGCTGGAGCTGTCTGCTGAGCAGCCAATCAGATGAAGTCATCACTATGTGACCTAACGTGACCAAGATGCAATCTGGTGGGTAATGACACGCCCGCCCTTCACAAAAATACCGAGGCTACCTGGGCGCGGAGACAAAATAATTCGAACATGACAAAATGTGTTCTGCATATGGTAGCAGTTCATTCTGACTGTCTGCTCCCATATGGGTCGACAGTCTTTCAGAAGGATTGCGCGACGGCGGTCAATAAAGGTGCCCTTCAAAATAAACTTGTTACCTGTCTGACACCTGGTTCTTAATGACAACAAATGGGCCGCTTGCCGACGATCATTCGAACCGCCGTGCCACGCCAGTGAAGCCGCGAACTCGGCTCGACCATCCATGGCGTGGTGCATGATCTTTATCGCTCTGGAGAGGCCATTGTCCAGCACTGGATGATACGTGTTGTGCAGAGCCGAATTATTGGCTAAGAGATGTCATCTAGAGGTTTAAGTTGAGTTAGCTCCAGACAATAACGTGCTAAGCCTCGCCCTGACAGGGGGGTTAGTCCTGATGCAACCCTCTAGGGTGTTGGGATACTCCTTCGGCATGCTGAGCAATTACGCCTGAACCCTCAGGAACCTATGTGGACATTTATTGCGCGTATTTTGACACCAAAAAGCGTGCTCCTTGCTTTTCTGGTTCTGGAGCGACGGGGTTTTTCAGGAACACTGCACGGCGAGCTACGGCCTGAGTTGGCGGGCGGCAGCCGACGGTGCCGCGGAACGTGTGTGGCGGTTCGGCATTGTTACATTAACGGAGCCACATATAATAAGGATAAGCTCAAACTGCATATGAACATACACCATTATACCCGGAATAGTGCAAGAAACACGCCTGTTTAAGTTTTGCACCGCCACAGAGCATGTTCTCGCAAGTATGACATTTTAAAACCGAAAAGTACGATTTTCTGTAAAATTCGTACTTTGACCTGGAAAATGGAGTCAGTTACTAACCTAATAATATACAAACTAGTACCAATCGCGAGATATCGTTGAGGCAAATCTATATGTGCCTTCCGCTAAACTCTACCCTTATCGCTTAAAAAAAAAAACGCCAGGGGGTCGTATCCCCTCCCCCCATCAGTCCGCGTTATGAAGAACGACTCATTAAGGTGAGGGTTAATGAGCCTGACGGCTAAATTGTTGACGGAATCAGTCATACATTTGGCAAGGTTCTCCTATGGAGATCCTATCGCCATCCTCATAACGCTGCATCTGACATGCGGGGGTGATACCAATGAGATCAATATGAAACTATCTCCAAGGCACTGAGCTGAAACGGTGGACATGAATTTTATTTGACCTTGCGCACAGCCTTGATGCGTAGAAACTAATCTCTGGTGCATGTGTGCTGTGCACGACCCTGATAAGTCTTGTGAGCGACCTTCCTCCAGAACTGATGGTTACCTGCAGCTCATATGTCCCACACCGGAATAAGTTCGCGCGACCGCTGCAGCCACCAACCACTGCCTAACTTCCACGCACTGCAGTGCGCGCAGTAAACCTGCCTGTCATCTTGCCCGACCTTTCAGCGGTAGTGGAGGTGATCTGCAGGCCATCCTGGACGACAACCAAGTGCCGTACGAGAGTGACGTGATTCGCTTCATGCGCAACCTGCTGGAGGGACTCGTCTTCATCCACGAGAGGAATGTTGCCCATCTGGATATCAAGGTTGGTGGACTCACGCGTGACTGTGCTGTCGGGCCATGCAAAGGCCACGTCACTTGGCGTTCAGTTGCTATGGCACGTACCCGCCCAGTGGCCATGGCTGTTGCGTTCTGCAGTGGCATCTGTAAGCATGCTTGTCGGACTTAAATGCTTGTATGACTGCAGAGCAAGCCATTAGATATTCACCACGCATCGTCGGATTCATGTACAGATCAAAGCAGCGTATGTCAATACCCATCACGTGATGATCGACCAGGCTGTAGTACAACCGCTGTCACTGAATGAGGCTCGGCCCATGGCGGCTGGCGGCCGGCCGCGGCATTCGGAGCTCGCCACCGCGCACACAGCTGGTGGACACTCGATCCATTAAACATGAGCGAAACTGGCGCCATGTGTCGCGGCGGTCCGACACCGCTGCAAGTGGAGCTGCAGGCGTCTGCTGCGAGCATGGGTCACATGCACGACTGGCTCCTGCCACGGGTCCCCAGACACTGACAGTAGAGGCCAGCCCAGGAGCATGAGCCGCAGACGCGACCAGCTCGTGTCACGGGTCCCCAGACACTGACAGCAGAGGCGAGCTTCGGAACATGGGTCACAGACACGACCGGCTCCTGTCACGGGTCCCCAGACACTGACAGTAGAGGCCAGGCTCGGAACATGGGTCACAGACACGACCGGCTCCTGCCACGGGTCCCCAGACACTGACAGCAGAGGCCAGGCTCGGAACATGGGTCACAGACACGACCGGCTCCTGCCACGGGTCCCCAGACACTGACAGCAGAGGCCAGGCTCGGAACATGGGTCACAGACACGACCGGCTCCTGCCACGGGTCCCCAGACACTGACAGCAGAGGCCAGCCCAGGAGCATGAGCCCCAGACGCGACCAGCTCGTGTCACGGGTCCCCAGACACTGACAGCAGAGGCCAGGCTCGGAACATGGGTCACAGACACGACCGGCTCCTGCCACGGGTCCCCAGACACTGACAGCAGAGGCCAGGCTCGGAACATGGGTCACAGACACGACCGGCTCCTGCCACGGGTCCCCAGACACTGACAGCAGAAGCCAGGCTCGGAACATGGGTCACAGACACGACCGGCTCCTGCCACGGGTCCCCAGACACTGACAGCAGAGGCCAGCCCAGGAGCATGAGCCCCAGACGCGACCAGCTCGTGTCACGGGTCCCCAGACACTGACAGCAGAGGCCAGGCTCGGAACATGGGTCACAGACACGACCGGCTCCTGCCACGGGTCCCCAGACACTGACAGCAGAGGCCAGGCTCGGAACATGGGTCACAGACACGACCGGCTCCTGCCACGGGTCCCCAGATACTGACAGCAGAGGTGAGCTCTCGCGAGTCTGTCGCTGGAGGCACACCGATATCGCGAGTCTGTCGCTGGAGGCACACCGATATCGCGAGTCTGTCGCTGGAGGCACACCGATATCTGGGCACGCACGTGACCAGCCGCTAGTGCAAATGTTTGTGAAATCGGTGAAGTCCGTGTTTGTGCGCATGATTTTGTGCGTGAGTGGGATTCTGAGCAGAGAGGGGCTGGTTTGCGTGTGTGCGCCTGTCTTAGCACCTCTTTTTACGCGTTAGTGTGTCTAATCTCGGGAAAGGCTGGTGCCGTACACACCAGCCAGCTTTGTGCACATGACATTAAGTCGCCTTGACTGACGGTAGAAACGTGTTCTTTGGCGTAGGGACATCTTCGTTGGAGACAGACGAGATGCGTATTTTCACACCGAAAGAAGAGCAAGGCTCGTCGATCCGCCGGTCAGAATCTGTTGAATCTTAACCTTCACTGGCCCAGACGCTATCTTTGAAGTTGTTTTTCTAAGCTACGTCCCCGGTTAGCGGGCGGATATTTACATTTGTGAGATAAGGCGCACGGGTGACTCCACCCTTTCAGTGCTATTTTTCACCCGCTCCGGAGTTCTTTGGCGGCGCACTGTCGGGTCAATATGGACGTTCCAGAGTTCTTTGGCGGCGCTCTGTCAGGTCAATGTGGACGTTCCGGAGTTCTTTGGCGGTGCACTGTCAGGTCAATGTGGACGTTCCAGAGTTCTTTGGCGGCGCACTGTCAGGTCAATGTGGACGTTCCAGAGTTCTTTGGCGACGCACTGTCAGGTCAACGTGGACGTTCCGGAGTTCTTTGGCGGCGCACTGCCAGGTCAATGTGGACGTTCTGGAGTTCTTTGGCGGCGCACTGTCAGGTCAATGTGGACGTTCCGGAGTTCTTTGGCGGCGCACTGTCAGGTCAATGTGGACGTTCCGGAGTTCTTTGGCGGCGCACTGTCAGGTCAATGTGGACGTTCCGGAGTTCTTTGGCGGCGCACTGTCAGGTCAATGTGGACGTTCTGCGGCGGATGTGATCCACGCACACAATAGTCGGCCACTGTTCCGCTGTTTGCCCTCGGTGACCGCTACAGTCCGCCGAGGTATCCATTTGGACCGAAAGGAGACCAGCTCGACGACGACAGATCCTGCCTCTGATCAGGGAGAACAGTGCACCTCTTTAACGGCCGTTGCGCCTGGCTCCGCCGGCGCGGACGCATCGGACCGGCACAATCATAATGACGAAAGGCGTTCCGTTCTCAGTCGCAGATAGCCGGACAACACCGGCGGCGGCTTTGACGTGTGGTCAGGCGAACCGACACTTTGCTATTGTTCGATGTGCGTGGCCAAAACTGGTTTGTGCGCGGTTGAAAAGCATGTTGCGTAACGTGCCTACCAGTGAGACCAAACTTGGTGACACTGATGTGACGCAGTTTACGAGCTCCGGGTTCAAACGAAATGATCATTATCTGATGTGGATAAATAGTATTAACCTCATTGTGTACAGGTTTCGGTGGCTCGGTAAATGTTATTCATTTTGCTTCTATGACGCTGTTCATTTCAACCAGCGGAGAACAAATGACCGCACTGTGGTCCACTTATTATTATTTGAATACTTAAGGACGGAAATTACAGCTACACGCTGTTTTAGATGCATCGGCATGATGACACTCCAAACGTTTGGTATTAATTGCAACATGATATCTCTTGCATTTCTTGAGCTCACTTGGCTTCCTAAAATGCACACCAAACCCCAATCCACAACTTTGCGTCTCTTATTCACAACGAAAGACGCACAAATACCCTTTTCATGAGTTTTGGAGGCACCTCTCCTTTGTACACCTCCAGCGCCCCAACCATACCATGGCCCCAGTCCATCACAATCCTTCCTTGTCAAAGTTCGGGACCAGGACGAGTCCGAAACACCCGCCACACCCGCCGCCCCAGCCTCACCCGAGCGGGGCCCAGGAACGGGCACCAGGAGCGGCCGAACCAGCCTCACCCAAGCGGGGCACGGCAACACCAGGAGCTGCCGATCCAGCCTCACCCGAGCGAGGCCCGGCAGCACCAGGAGCTGCCGATCCAGCCTCGTCCGAGCGAGGCCCGGCAGCACCAGGAGCGGCCGATCCAGCCTCACCCGAGCGAGGCCCGGCAGCACCAGGAGCTGCCGATCCAGCCTCGTCCGAGCGAGGCCCGGCAGCACCAGGAGCGGCCGACCCAGCCTCACCCGAGCGAGGCCCGGCAGCACCAACAGCAGCCGACCCCGCCTGGTCCGAGCAGGGCACGGCAACACCAGGAGCGGCTGATCCAGCCTCGTCCGGACGGGAGTCAGCAACAAGCCGCCCCGTGTGTCCTCGACTCCTGCCCAGTCGCGCGCGTGCACTCAACGCAGCACCAGCCATCAGGACGGTCATTTGTACAGGCGCCGGTGAAGCGGTGCAGCTAACTAGTACAAATGGGCGTCGCTGTTGCCGGCCAGACAGCGATCCATTCCGGCTGAGGAGCGGGGCCTTTGGCGTCGGGCCTAGGCTCTGGAGACGCCGGCGCATGGCAGCGGCGATGGGACTGTGACGGACAGTACTGGGACTGCAGCAGACGGTGCTAGGACCGTAACGGACAGTACTGGGACTGCGGCAGACGGTACTAGGACTGTGACAGACGATACTGGGACTGCGACAGACGGTGCTAGGACTGTGACAGACTGTACTGGGACTGCAGCAGACGGTGCTAGGACTGTGACAGACAGTACTGTGACTGTGACAGACAGTACTGGGACTGTGGCAGACGATATTAGAACTGTGACAGACGGTACTGGGACTGCGACAGACGGTGCTAGGACTGTGACAGACAGTACTGTGACTGTGACAGACAGTACTGGGACTGTGGCAGACGATATTAGAACTGTGACAGACGGTACTGGGACTGCGACAGACGGTGCTAGGACTGTGACAGACAGTACTGGGACTGTGACGGACAGTACTGGGACTGTGGCAGACGATATTAGAACTGTGACAGACGGTACTGGGCTGCGGCAAACGTTACTGTGACTGTGGCAGATGGTACTGTGACTTTTACGGACGGTACTGTGACTGTGACAGACGTTACTGTGACTGCGGCAGACGTTACTGCGACTGTGGCAGATGGTACCGTGACTCTTACGGACGGTACCGTGACTGTAACTGACGATGCCGGGACTGTGACATAGTACTGTGACTGTGACAGACGGTACTGTGACTGTGGCAGACGGTGCTGTGACTGTGACATACGGCACTGTGACTGTAACGGGTGGTACTAAAAATGTGATGGTTCTGTGACCGAGACGGACGTCACGTGACAGCATGACACCAGGACCGTGACGGACATTATTTAGGAAGTACTGAACGGTACTGGAACTGTGATGACCTCTACCGGGGCTGTGACGAACTCCACTGTGAGTGTGACGGACGGTTCGTTACCCTGTGACTGTGACGGAGCCTACTGGAACGGTGACAGACCTCCCATGACAATGGGATCACGACGGATGGTACAGAGACTGACAGACGGTGAAGGAAGACCGTGACCCTGCGACTGTGACGGACAGCACCGTGACAGTGACGGATGATACTGGGACGGTGACGGATGGTACTGGAACTGCGACGGACTGTACTGTGATGTCGATAGACGGTACTGACAGACCGAGATTGCTGGGACGATATTGGACACGGCGAGGGCCGGACCGTGACTCAGTGACGCCTCACCTCAGGGAAGAGTGCGCCCCACTCGGCGCGTCTCGTGCGGGGTCCGCGTGCCGCCGCGCCCGAACGGCTGACGCTCAGAGGCCGCGGCAGCGCTCACAGCCAGACGCCGAGAATTCCTGACGCGCGTCAGTCATTAAACGTCGATTAAAAGGCCACTCACGCCTGCTCTGGCGCCCTTGTGCTCCTACAAAGGCCGTTCAAGGGCGGCTTAATTTCATTATAATTGAGTGTAAGGGCCATGAGACGTCATTTATCACACCCGCGATCATCCAGCGCCTCGATGGTTCTGTCCCACGTCATGTATCGTGAATAGGTCTGTGAGCACTGCGAGACGATATAACGCCTCGGCGTTATGTTGTTGCAGGCGTTCGCGGAACCACCTCCTCATCCCACCACGTCTTGCACAGCTCTTCACCGCTCGGACCTGCGTGCGTGCAGAGCTTGCACAGCAGTATCCCACTCCCCTCGTGGCGCAGCGATTGAGTGGACTTTAGCGCCGGCGTAGGGTGTTCCGCATGACACGACGAGACGGGGCCTGCCTGTGGCCCTCTGACGCCCGATGCCGGGCTGACGACATGTGGACGTTGGCCGGTCCTGGGGTCAGCCTTGGGGCGACGCTGGCCGGTCCTGGGGTCAGCCGTGAAGCGACGCTGGCCGGTCCTGGGGTCAGCCGTGAAGCAACACTGGCCGGTCCTGGGGTCAGCCTTGGGGCGACGCTGGCCGGTCCTGGGGTCAGCTGTGAATCGACGCTGGCCGGTCCTGGGGTCAACCGTGAAGCGACGCTGGCCGTTCCTGGGGTCAGCCTTGGAGCTACGGGGCCGACGCGCTGGCACCGGCCGGGGTCAGACGCATGTGCGGCGAAGGCTGGGTGTTGCCCTGCACATCTTGACTCTACCCAGGCCGGAAGTGGTCGTACACACTGCGATACTCCATCCCGATCTCGACTCTACCCAGGCCGGAAGTGGTCGTACACACTGCGATACTCCATCCCGATCTCGTCTCCACCCAAGCCGGAAGTGGTCGTACACACTGCGATACTCCATCCCAATCTAGACTCTACCCAAGCCGGGAGTGGTCGTACGCGCTGCGACACTCCACCCTGATCAGCGCAGCCCAGCCCACCTCAAGGTGTCTCGTGAGTTGGCCTAAGGTGCGCAGAAAGCCGAAGCACATCTCATGACTCTTCACCTCCCTCTTCGGGCATCTCTCATCTCACTCCTCGAGCAACTCTCACCTCATTCCTCGGGCGCCCTATACCTCACTCCTCAGGCGCCCTTTACGTCATTTCTCAGGCTCCCCACACCACACTTCTCGGGCGCCCTATACCTCACCCCTCAGGCGCCGCACACCACACTCCTCGGGCGCTCTATACCCCATTCCTCAGGCGCCCTATGCGCCATTCCTCAGGCGCCTTATACCTCACCCCTCAGGCGCCCCACACCACACTCCTCGGGCGCCCTATACCTCACCCCTTAGGCGCCCCACACCACACTCCTCGCGCGCCCTATACCTCACCCCTCAGGCGCCCCGCACCACACTTCTCGGGCGCCCTATACCTCGCCCCTCAGGCGCCCCGCACCACACTCCTCGGGCGCCCTATACCTTACCCCTCAGGCGACCCGCACCACACTCCTCGGGCGCCCTTACCCTTCTCCTCGGGCGCCTGACATCGTCCCCGTCTGTAGACGCTACGTGGGTCGTGTGGCGGAGGGAGACCGTGGCCCAACCACCGGCAGCCGGCTGACAGATAAGCCGTCTGCATGCTGCGGCCTTTGGCGGGAATGGGAGATAGGAGTCTGCACCCTCTGGCGACGGAAATGGCGGAAATTTGCAGCTTTTGCAACGGAAGTGGCAACAGCTTGTGCCGCTGCTGGCAGAGCTGGGAGCGGCCCGAATCGTTCGGAGTTTGAGAGGCAGTAGGGAAATGGCTGGTCTCTTCCAGTGCGGACCATGTGTAATGACGTTATAAGGATATACCAAGCAGTTGACGTCAGCACAGAACTTCATAACAACCGGGAGAAAAAAAAATACAGCGGAAAGCAGCAGGGGGGTTTGAACTGGGCCATTTGCTATCAGTTATCTGCCTGGTACGTCCATGTTTTGAGAATTTATGGACCTGTCAGGAAAATGCGTTGTAAATAGATGCGTAAGTACCCAGAATAATGCCCGGGAGATACGTGAATATCAGAAGTAATATCCAGCAAAATATGCTTGTACTTTGCCAAGGGAAGCACTTGACTTGGGAAGCACAATTCAGTGCTTATCAATGCGGATTTCCATTCTGTTTGATTGCCGTTCACTGGACGCTGTTAATGCCACTGTAGGGATTGATTACCGTTCACCGGACGCTGTTCATATCACTTTAGGGGTTGAGTACTGTTCACTGGACGTTGTTCATACCACTTTAGGGGTTGAGTGCCGTTCACTGGGCGCTGTTCATAACACTGTAGAGGTTGATTACCGTTCACTGGGCGCTGTTCATAACCCTATAGGGGTTGATTACCGTTCACTGGGCGCTGTTCACAACACTGTAGGGGTTGATACTGCGTAAAAGGGATAGGCGACGACGAATGCCGCTCAACTTTCGAAAATGTCATTGCTTTGGGGTTTCTGTAGGCGTTAAGTACAAAATGCAACAGTGCAATGACAGTAAATCCGTGAACGTTTCCCGAATATTCACATTGAGCTCATTTACAACATGTGTATTTCCAAGTCCGAGAGCATACGCTTTTTGCTCTGTCCAATGCCTTCATCTGCCTCACTGCGCTCCGATAGTCAAACCTACGAACACGATACCATCGTAAAAACCGACTGTCAGTAAAAACTGACATCTGGCTATCTTGAGATATCGGGTGTCATTGGGGTCCACCAGAGGGGACGGGGAGGGGAGCGCACAGAGATTTGACGGAGGCTGGTGTTATCACGTCATTCCTCTGATGACGGATAAAAACTACACCGCCTTAGGAAGCCTGTGTGACCACAGGAAGTGTATCGTCGATCATGAATCCATGGCTTCTGTCCAGCATTCTAGATGACAGGATTTCGATGGCCGGCCGGCGCTGAAGAAACAGAGCGACCTCAGGGATTGTAGATAGTGTCAGATAGTCGACTTGATATCGGTTCAATTTCCATTTGACTTCCGTGGATATATAATGTCTTTGCGGCTGTTTTACACAGTCACCAAATAGCCTAGCAGGTCGCAGACGCTGAGACCGCGGCGTCAGGCCCAGCAGAGAGTCGTGCGCATCTAGAGGGCTTCCAGGAAGCATCTGCGGAATGTCCATTATGGCATGGTCATGACAATATTGTCATGATGATATGGTCATGATGGTATCGTCAAGATGGTACAGTCATGACGAAATGTTCATGACGATATGGTCGTGATGGTAAGATCATGGAAATGGGGTCATGATACAGCCATGGTACTTTGGCCATGATGATAGGGTTGTGATGATATGTTTATGGTTATATGGTCACCATGCGTCGGTCATGAGAATATAGCGGGTCAAGCGGGCCAGTTGACGAAACATTTACATGCAGAAGGAGGGCGAGTGTGTCCTGTTACATCGACTACCGACACCAGTCAGACAGTGATCCGCCTGCATCTGATATAAATTTCTCCAATGCATTCACTTATTTTGCCTGTTTCAGCAACTGCGATAGTATGCACGAGGTCCACTCTGTCGATGGTAAATAATTAGTCGTAAAAAAGATCATCTCGTCATTCCGACCACATGACGTTTTCCAGGCTCAACCAAGAGTGTGAGGTGCTCATCAAGTGAAGTCCCAGCCCATGTCAGAACGCCACGTTCACCTTGTGAGAGCTAACTGTAATATAAGCCGAGTTCAGGACCTGTCTGACTGTCGCAAACCCTGGCCGGCCGCCCAGAGCCGACCGGACACTAACGGGCCGCCGCGCTCACCCAGCCGCAGAACCTGGTGCTGACCGGCGAGTTCCCCGACTGTGATATCAAGCTCTGCGACCTGGAGATATCGCGCGTCATCAGCGCCGACACAGAGGTCCGCGAGATGCTCGGCACACCCGACTACGTCGGTAAGCACGTCCCGGCTCGCCCCGCGCCGTCCGGTCCGAGCCCAGACAACACGATGTGCGGTGCGCCGATCCTGCACCGCGCTGCTAGGTCATCAGCGACGACACAGAGGTTCTTGAGATGCTTGGCACACCCGACTACGTCGGCAAGCACGCCCCGGCTCACCCTGCGCCGTCCGGTCCGAGCCCAGACGCCGCGATGTGCGGTGCGCCGATCTTGTACCGCCATGCGGGTTCAGAAGGCATTACGTTACCGTGTTGTGGTGCTGACTCATGTGGATGGTAGTGCACCCCTGCTGTGACACCACTTCTGCACAAACTGCTGGGTGATATACATTGCTGCATGTGCCTTGACTTTCTGTCTGCTGGAGGTTAACACAACCACCAGGGAGTTTCTGGAAATCCCTGTCCATTCGTGGATTTCTACCAACGCTTGCATCTGCGTTGTTCCGATGTCCTCGTCCATGGATGTCGTCCAATCATGGCGTGTTTTCCTCCGTGGATGTCACCCTATCATGGCGTGTTCTCGTCCGTGGATGTCGTCCTATCATGGCGTAGTGCTCATTTATTCCACCAGGGCGCTAATCCCTGCAATTATTCCATCGCAATAATTGTCCAGCGTGTGGCAATGGGACAGATTAGAATACCCCGTGGTTGACCGTTTTTATGGCTCTTCCTGAGTTATTATAATGGGCTAAGGATTAGGAGTGGCATTCCACTCCATTTTTGGGGAATCTGCATTACCCTAATGTCGTTGCACTCAGTAAGGTGGCGACAGAGCCCTTCTCCACCTCCCATCTACCCCACGGGCTTAGCTTCTTCGCTCAGATGGTGAAGCTATTCAAATCTTGCTCTTTACATCATCTGGATGAATATGAGCTTGGCGCCCCGACACAGGAACCTTAACTCCTGGTGACAGCATCAGCACCAGCGTCACTAATGCAGCCCGTCACACCACAGCAAGGAACAACACTTAACTCCAAGACACTTCATGCTGGCACTTATGCTTCGTGAAGTGTGTGACCAACACCTCAGTCGGTCCGCACCCCTCGCTGCCGCCCCGAACCCAGGCCGGCGGGCCGGTCGGCCGCCGTCCGACACAGTGCGCGGGAGGCAGGGAGTGTCGGTTGAAGGCATGCGTCGATGATAACCCCAGTTGAAAGGCTCAATCAGCAGCCCATCATAGCTTGATATACGGCGAGCTTGATCTTCTGAGAGCGATGTTTTTGTGAAATCCGCCGCCGATCAACTTGCAACTGACCCCTGACTCAGCCCCGATCCGTCTTTGAGTCGCATCCAATCGGCCTCAGATCCGTCGCCGATCCAAATTCGCCTCACTGCCTCAGTCCGCCTCCGATCCGTGCCCATGGTTCCGTCCGGCCGTCCGCGGTTCGTGCCATCCGTCCCCATGGTTCGGAGCGTCTACAATTAGACATGCGTCTCGGAAG